GAAATGCTTATTTTAGTTCTACCTCTAATTCTGATTTTTCGGCAGATGTATTATCTATTGCTTCATATGTGGATTGAATTATTTATTGTACACTAATGTATAAAAAACATTTGGTTACGATTAAACTGAACAATTTGTGACCAAAAAAGGTCTCTATTTCTTCCAGGCAATCTTTGCGAGCTGAACAAAATCATCAAGTAGCTTATAGCTAGATTTTTAGATTTTCAAATCAAAGAATCCAATTCCTAACTCGTTCCTGATGTTAAGATTTTCTTTATTCACATTGGTGGCTCAGGTTTATTGAATCATCTTTCAATCTTTGTTCGGTTGGCTGGTGGATACCAAGGCAAAATAGACGCTTACCCCTGGTTCTCCCTGGCATGTTGTTTATTGGTGGATGCGCGTCCTATTTTCCTAGTGTTATATATTTCACGTATCGTGACATAACATCGAGTGTCGCTAACTCGACTCTGCCTCTGAGCTGGGAAGCCTCGTTTGCTTAACTTGGCGGAAATGAAGGCTCAATTTTTAGACTATCCTCAAGGATTTTCTAATAAAGGGGAAAATGTGGGTGGGAATTTCATTAATATTGCCATTATGTTGTTTCTTTAAAAGGGGTCTGACGTCACACGCTGTTTGCGATCACGTGACAACGAGTTTAAAATATTTGTTTCTTTTTTTTTTTAATTAATTTAAGCAACATAAGCATAAGTGTAATTATCGGTAGAATTATTAAACACTACCAGAGAAAAATATTTGGTGTTTATTTTCGGTTACTGTCTACACCCGTATTACTTGAGAAAATGTCATAACTTAAACATATATTTTTAACCAATAGACTAGAAATTGAATTAAACAAAAACTGTTAAGAGCTAATGCTAGTATTTTTACTATAAACAGTTCGTACTTCATTCAAATTCTTGTTAATATGTTATTAAGTAATTACTTTTACTCGACTATAGATGCGGGTGTAAGACTTTCAATAACATTTTTTTTTACATAGTATTGTCAATATTGAGCAGATATTTTTGAGTTCAATAAAAAAATATATTGTAACCATCTTCTGTTTTATATATCTCTGAGACTGTATTTTTTTACAAGTAATTTTGTATTGTGGGTATGTAGTTTTTCTTCCACTGTTAGACTACCCTACAAAATCAATTTTGTGTAAACACGATTGATAAATTAAGTAAATACATTCGGATTTCAGTGAAATGGCTATTATCGAGTCTCAAGTAGTTAAGCATTCATGCTTAAAACACTTAATATTTACAAAATTACATTATAGAGCTATCGATACGTCGTTATGTATAAGGTTTACTCAGTTTTTTAATTCCCACCGAACCTGGGATGTTCATTTGACTAGTTAATGTGTATTTTATAAGTTAAATCACTTTTGTTATTATTTTCTAATTATAAATCACATTTATAGTCTTCATATCCAGTCGCTGAACAGAGAGAATGTTGTACGTTGACCTTTGACAGATATCGTAAACGTTTTAGGTACACTTTACTTTACAAAATTGGCTAGATGCATCTGTGCGAGCGCAATAGCAATATGTACGCTCGCGAGTGAAAGAGAAATGTGTGCCGGGTCATTGTACGAAATTATCTCTGTTCGGCGCACTCTAATCTGTAATAAAAATAACGTTGATACACCATAGAGGTTCAATCAACCTTCATGAAAAGGTATTAAAAAAAGGTTTTATTTTATTGAATCTCTATGATTTGATAGCGCTACATTGACGTTCAGTTCGTAGCTGATTTTATTACAGAATAACAATTTGACCGCTTCACTCAAAGCTTTAGCCAAATGTATATCTATAAGAATAACATTGATTGTTTTTTTTATATCTATACACACAGAGCGCGCAGACTAGGATGTCGCAGATGCGTATATTTTTTTTAAAATACACCGATACGGATGCGCATCCGTATCCGCGTACATAAAAACGCATCCGTATATCGCATATCTTCAAAAATTTGAAATACTACGTATGCGTTTTTAGATACGCGGATACTGACGCTTTTTATTTGAGATCCGCGGATAGATTTAGATGCAGACCTTGTAAGTTTGTTACTTAACCTTTATTCGAGGGGTGAGCTTAATGGTTTAAGCTACATTCTTGGCGATATTTAGGTTCTGTTTGCTTATATAATAACTCATTATCGCCGAATAAAGTTACTTAAACTATTAAGCCTTTCTACCCTTCATATTGTTTTTTTTTTAATAATTTGTGTATTTAACCTAAAATTTGACAAGGTTATATGGAAAACTGATATAAATCAAAATCTGATATATATAAAATGGTATTTTTTTTTTACCATTATAGATATAATTTAATGTTTTGATAGCCTATGGCTTTGAGTAAGCCGGTCGTAGAGTTATTAGTCAAATGTTCTGTACAACAAGATTTGTTTACTTTCACAATTATCTTTGTATTAATTGTTTATGTTATAAGTTGACTTAGATTGTAGCATGATTTTTTTGCTTTAAACCTTTATTTGTAATAAAATATGATTATTTCGCAAAATGTGTTCTTATTTGAATTGGTACATTATTGAAGAATATTAAATACGTATTTTTTTGCGTAGTCTTTCAATGAGGAAGTATTTAAAAAAAAAGATTGGTTCCCGAAATCAAACTTTTTTGACAACCTTCCGGTTTTCTTTCATGCGTAAAAGTAAATTAGTTTTGAAAACTCAATAGACAACTCGTATTCTATTTGTACTTTTTCGTATTTGTATTGATATCTAAGTTTCGCACTTTGCTGATTTCAGTTTTTTAATATGTTAATTAAAAGGAACGGAAATGACTGTCTTTAGTCCATTCGTTTCCTGCAAAAATCAACTTTTGCTAGTGTCGCCATCTAGTGGAGGTGTTTTTTTAGTGCTTATGTTATTTTTTTTAATACTTCCTCAATACGGCGATACATTGAGTTAGAATGTCGCATGACGTTACGCATATTTACATTTTCTACTAATCTGTGACGTCGCATCCCCACTCCTAGATTTTAATGCCTATTATCTATTTTTTTTTACCCAGTCGTCACCTCAATGAGGAAATATTTAAAAAATAAAAAGGCACTTCTGCTAGATGGCGATAACAAATTGATTTTTTCAGGAAACGAACGGACCAAAGACGGTAATTTCCGTTCCTTTTAACTAACATATTAAAAAACTGATATTTGCAAAGTTCGAAACTTATATATCAATACAAATACGAAAAAGTGCAAATAGAATATGAGTTGTTTAATGAGCTTTGAAAACTAATTTACTTTTATACACGAAAAAAAACCGGAAGGGTTGTCATGGTGGAGAAATCAAGAAAGTACAGTAACGACATTTAGTTTGATTTCGGGAACTAATGTTTTTTTTTATACTTCCTCATTCGTAAGTTAGTTTTAATCCGTCAATACAGTAGCGCGAGTTTCTTAGACTTGGAAAGGCAACTTTAGGGCCATTAAGATAAATCCTTAAAACGGTGTTGATCTGTAAGGAAATAAGTACTAATTTTAAGGTTTTCTAGAGCTGCCGTGCTGACGGCCTTGTCTCTGCTTTTTCCAAAGTTTTGTCTTCAAAGTAAATTCCAAAAAAATGTCCACCTCTTAATTCACGCCTGTGACATAATTTTTGGTATATAGATAGGTTATATATAGTTCGAGATAGTAATATGATCACCCATCCTGTGACCGGCCGATTAGACCGAACGCACTAATTGCTACGTCATGAAGCTCTTATAAATTGCTTAAGACGAAGAGAAGTCTATTCTCAATGACGCAGTCGTTAGCGCGTTCGGCCTGCCATTCGGTTGTTAAGCAGCTTTCGAAATGGCCAGCCAAAGGATGGGTGACTAAAAATTTATTGTATCGAGCTCCTCCGCGCCTCGGAAGGTACGTTAAGCCGTTGGTCCCAGCTGCATTGGTCCCAACTGAGTCAACACCCACTAATTCGCATTGAGTTCGCGTGGTAGATCATTAATAATAATAACTTTTATTCAGCTTACAAGTTTTAACAATTTATGCGTTGGCTTCCTCTATTAAGTACTATAAGTACCTATGTTACAGGAAACCACTCTTCCATATCTTAATTATATATCTGAGTGCGTGCAAACGTGTGCGTGTTTGTGTATGTGTGAGTCTGTGTGTGTGTATGTGTGAGTCTGTGTGTTTGTGTGTGTGTGTGTTTGATTTATGTGTGTTAACTTAATTTTTCAATTAGCCCAGGGTACGATTGTAAAATATTTACAGTTTTATCATAGTTTAAACATTTTAGCCATTCCGTAACTTCTTTTTTACATTTCTTTAATGTCAATGAATATATTTTTAGGGTTTTGTTTATTTTGTTGTAAATGTGTGAGGATAAATTCATGAACTGACATTGCGCAAATCTAGTGTGAACATATGTTGTAGTAGCAACATTATCCTTCCTCCTTTTAGTTTCTTTATCATTAGAGTATTCTATAGATTTATGTTTCTTTAAAACAATTTGTAATATGTAAAGTTTTCTTACTGTAAGTAGATCTGCATCAAAATATAAAGACAGTTGAAAATCTCCTTTTTTTAAATAACATTACTTTAAGTAAGACTCTTTGAGCACGTTCAACCTCTAGAAATTTTGTCTTGAATGCTCCTCCCCAGAGGGTAATGCAGTAAATTGTAATTGACTGTGCTAACGCTATATATATTTCATTTATTAGCTTTTTATCTGCGATATGCCTCAGTTCTTTAAAAACCCAAATGAGCTTCCGTAATCTACTAGCAACTAAATCAATATGAGGATACCAGTTCAGTTTTTGATCCAGCAGCACTCCGATCATTGCCCATATCTTCCTCTTCGGTTGCATTCCCATGGAAGGCCTGAGCCCCAGCATTGACAAGGCTAGTGTTAAGTGAAATGGCGTTTGAAAAATTAAAGACGTAGTATTTGTTATTGTTTATTATTAAAGATTGTTGCCTACTTTAATGAATTATGTCACGCTGAGTATAAAATTCATACTTTTACCTCTGTCTTACTTTAATCCTACCCGTATATCTTTCATCATTGAAATTTTCATGTATCAAGTCGGGCGTCTCCGGTCTTCTAGCCAAGGCTCTTTGGAATGTCTCCAAAATGTGTTGTTTCTCCAAAAACAATTTGTCTTTTTTCGATGCTTTAGAAATAGCAGCTAGAGTTGTACTCACCCAAGCTTCGTAATACGGTCTCGTGTGCTTATTAATGCTCGACGGAGCCCATTTGGCTACTTCTGTTGGTGGAGAACCACCTCTTACTAAAGACTCGGGGGATTCAGCTAGACGCTTCAGTTTCGTCTTCTTGCGCGTCTTTTTTGGCGGCAAAGGTTTAGATGTAACCTCTCTTTGAAGTATACTCTCTTTACTAACTTTTTTTATTGCAGCACTGGCGTTAGACGTTTTAGAAGTTTTATATTCTGGCAACTTCACTTGTATGGCTGTAGGTTTCTGTTTGTTTCTATCGACGAATGTCACGGCTTTGTAGATTTTGGTGGCGTCGTTTTTAGATGTAATCGTTTTTATCACCGGTCGCCTCTGCGGAATATCTTTATCAAAAGAATCTTTGGATGTATGCGTTACGTCTGGCTTGTCTTTTGGCGGTACACTTGGTTTTTTAACTGAGCGGTCTGTAAATAAACTTGTTGTTAAACTCTGTTAGATTAGAGTTATATAATTCCTAAGGAGGCTTACAAATAGGTCTATGAACTCAAAAGGATTCAGTCTTCAAGTTCAAAAAGTAGACCACCAGCCAGGACAATGCATTTTTAAATGAATCCACTGGTAGAACAAAAAAATATTAGACGACCGTCGGCTTCATCATCACGAACTTCATGAACCGCCCTTACAAAGTCAAATCCAAAATAATCTTTATATAAATAGACTTCTTAAAACTACTTTTGAATCGTCCAACATTTTTTCCTCTACCACTCGTACAGGACGTCTTTTGGCTGATAAAAAGAACGAGCAAAAACTCACCAGCAGCAAGAAAATGTGTACATCATACGAAACATAGTTTTTTTTTATGAACGTACATTAAATTCTCGTATATGTATTGAGAAGTAACAGTTATTATGTCTGTTTCTATTAGAGTCTTAATCCTAAGATTATAAATCGATATTATAGCATCGTATATGTCGGCAGCATTTCCCCACAGAAAGATTCCATACGACATTACAATACGAAAGTAACTGAAGTATACTAATCTGGCAGTATCTATGTCAGTTAACCTATGTACATATCTTCATTACGGCATATGCTGTCTATTCGACAATTATACACGAACTCCATATTGTCTGTATATACTTTTGTCCAAGACTAAGTGAAAAACAAATTTAAATATATATATTAAGATAAACGCAGTACTCTGCGGCAAGGATAAGATATCTATCATTGTCTTTTTTTCGCATGCGCTAGGATGAGGCCGCAGGCCTTATATTGGCGTTAATGTGGAATTTTTAAAATCGGTTTAATAGTTTCTGAGTTCATTGCTTACACGCCGTCATCCGCGTATGATGTAACAAGAGAGAAAGGAAGGGAGAGATATATAAACAAATAAATTACTCATTCTATCTCAATATCATATCAATAGTGAACGTACCTATTTTATAAGCTTCCAAATTAGACTTTCCAACGTTGACAATTTTAATTGGATCCTTTCTAACATTTACAGTTTCTTTCTTAGCAACATCATTAGTGACGCTAATGTTAGGATTCTTCTTTAAATTCCTCTCTCTTATCTTTCTTCTCTCTTCCAGCTCTAAATTTCTATTGTGCGCTATTTCTATGTCTTTCTTCTTCACAGTATCTGAGCGCTCTTCGGTTTTATTTATTTCTACAGCTCTTCTTGCTGCATACGCTCTCTTATCTCCTTTTGCTTTAAGGTTATCTCCCCCATCGGGCTGAATAATCTTAACTTTAGAGTCATTATCAGTATTATTTTTAACAATTCTTTCGTTTACCTTCTTCAAATCGCCTCTGTCTTTTTTATCTGTTTTCTTCTCTGATAGTTCTGGTTTCTTTAAATTTCTCTTGTCCATGCCAAATGTGTATTAGAAGAAAATCACTGAGAATTTAATGTATTGTTAAATGACAATTTTGCCATCGTGTTTTGTGCATTTTTTTTGCTCGTCTGCATATTAAAAAGTTTGTAGTTTATTAAACCTTTTTATAGGCATACTTATTTTTTTAATCTCGTTCTATTTCAGCTCTAATCAAAATGCAATAGAGCTTAAAGTATCGGCTTTAACCAAATAAAAAAACCAGCAAAAAGGTTTTCAAATTTTAAAACCATCTAGACCATGATCTAGAGATAATTAAATACTTTAGAAAATGTCAAAACAACACAAATGTCAACTGCCGGCACGAATTATCAAAAAAAATGAGTGGAAAATAAATAATAATTATTAAAACAAAAAAAAAAATGTTATAAACTTCTAGTTTCAGAAGCCATGGAGACGAGGTCGAATGTGGTGAAATCCAAATCGTCCAATAGTGCAATCACCACAAAATCCGGACTGAAGGAGAGCACTAGAAGTAATCTGCAATTCCAGCGGAATGTCATCAAGAAGAGGGGCGTGTATGTCGAAAACAAAGCCACCAAAACGAGGATAAGTGGACCAGGTAAGAAATTCGAATCATCACATCATCACCAGTCTATCAATAACTCTACTATTAGGGCTTAGGTCTTTCTTATGGATGAAATCGTATAAGAAGAATGGGGTAAGACCCACCACGCGGGTCCAGTGTGGTTTGGTTAACGCACAACGTACGTCCTGAAGCACAGAGGAGCTCGAGATAATAAATGTTTCGTCGCCTATCCTATAACAGGCCATTGCGAAAGTTACTTAATAAACATATCGCAGACAGACGCGCTAACCACTGCGCCTTCGAGCTCCTTATCATAAAAACTCCTGAGAATGCTCCGTGGAGAGGCGAAACACGAACTATCATCCCTATCATCGTATTTAAAAAAAAACATTAGTTCCCGAAATCAAACTAGATGTGGTACGGTACTTACTTGATTTCTCCATGACAACCCTTCCGGTTTTCTTTTATGTATAAAAGGAAATAAATTTTCAAAACTCAATAAACAACTCATATTCTATTTGTTATTTTTCGTATTTGTATTGATATCTAAGTTTCGAACTCTGCACATTTCAGTTTTTTAATATGTTAGTTAAAAGGAACAGAAATTACTGTTTGGTCCATTCGTTTCCTGCAAAAATCAACTTTTGCTAGGGTCGCCATCTAGTGGAGGTGCTTTTTAGTGCTTTCTTTTTTCTTAAAATAATCACTATACACACGTTTCGTATTAATGTACCTACATTTTTTTTTATTACATCATAAATAAATATAGAATATCTTTTATTCTTGTATGAAACACCTGCAGATAGAGAGCGGCCCAGACAAGACCGAACGCCACAATGTACATACAGATCTTGCCTCGTCCACTGTCATTACTCTTTTCATACATACTCGCCGATTTTTATAGCTTCCGACATCGCCTTATTGTTACATGTCGGTTATTATGACCCATTTTTAATAAATTATTTCCGGTTATAATGACAGCCTAGACTTTTTACACTTCCGATAATTGTCGGTGATTCTCGGCGTCGTTCGGCACGTGGCTAACTTGAAAGTGATGGAGAAGAGGAAGTCGAGGAAGAACCATTACCTACCGCAAAAGAGGCATTAAAGGCTGCAGAATTATTATCATGATTTGTTCATAGCAAAATGATAATTTGACCATGGTGATCTTCTTTAGACAATACTATTAGAGACTGTTATTACAATAAAATAAAAAACAAAAGCAGGCAATAATTACAGATTTCTTAATAAAAATAATGAAAAATACGTATATTACATACTTAAATGTATCGTTTATAATATTTACTTGTATTTTTTTTGATGCTTTATTAAAAATATTAAAATACATACATTATTACATAAAAACAATTTTTATCACCAAACTCTTTGTATGACGTCCGCTTATAATGACGTGTTTGTCAGTTCCCTTCGGTGTCATAATAAACGGATTCCACTGTATTTATAAACTGTATGTAAATCGTGTATGTGGTGTGTGTTGCCAAATAAAAACCTATTTTATTCTATATTCTTGATTCCTATATTTTATATTTACCGTAGTCTAATATATATTTCCTGACACTCTTTCAGAAACGAATACAAAACAAGAGAGACCTGTAAAACCCCCTCCGCGTCCACGTCCGGGCAACAAGAGGTTTTTAGCATCCGTACTATCTATCCTCTCCAAGTCTACAGCAGCCACTCAGTATCCCGATAACAACGAAAACAGCGGCCACGCAAATAGCCCTAAAAGATCCGCTAGAAAAAGACCAGAGGCACTCAAAAACGCAGAAGTCTACGACACACGTAAAAAGAAAAAGTACCGATCAAGAATTCTAAATAAAAGTGTTTATAACGACGTCACAGATCAACAAATAATTGTATTACAAGCTCAAAAAGAGATAACGCATACACCATCAATATTCTCGGAAAATGATTCTGCCAATGTTTCAAAACTACCATCACTCGTTACAAAGGCTTCATATTCATTAGACAAAGAGATAAAAATAGAAAACAACTTGAACGAACTAAACAACTCTCTGGTAAGAAATATTTTGGAAGGTAAACAAATGAAGAGAGAAAGAAGAGTTAGAATCGAAGACCCGACGACTTTAGTCAGTATTAACAACGTTAAAACTGCAGATGTGACCGCGAAAGACAATAATAAAGGATTATATAATTTTTTCGTCGATCTACTTGAAACTATCGATGGATGCAACGCCGCAGACGTTGAGAAAGTTACAATTTTATCCACAAATACTAGTTCTACGAAGGTACCACTGGAAATAAACGAATCAGTGGCACAAAGGCTTGAATTGAGAAGTCAGTCTTCAAATCACGGATGTAAGTCTCCCAGTCCTATAAGGGAAAATAATTTCTATTGCTTTAACAATGATAATGAATACCTAGCGAGTCAAATTAGTCCGAAAACATCAGTTGCAAAAACTCGTAAGCTTAACAAAACCAAAAAACCTCTGCACGCACAATCATTTTCAGTTACAAAAAAACCACAATCGAAAAATATTAAAACGGAAAGTTTGAATTTAGACAAGAAACTTTCAAATTCAAAGAAAAGGAAGAAAGAAACATTATTGAATCTATTCAAGGAGCAATTAAAGATGGACGTCAACGCATTCGATGAACCGCAAAACTTGTATGAAGCATTGAAAATCATAGCCGAAAATAAACGTAAATGTCAAAAAACAATACACTTTGAAGAGAGGATGAAGAGACACCGCAAAGATAGCGGATTCCCTGAATGCGTATTTAAAAGACCTAAAGTATTAGGTCCAGGTAAGAAAAGAAAAGCAGCAAAATCCATCAAAGAAGACCTTATTATTCAGAAACAATCTCTGATCAAAGATAATGAAAAAGGTGTCAAGAGAAAAGAAGTAGATGAAGATACGAATGGATCACAATATTCTTTGAAAGTCTTTGGATATGATTACGAAAAACCAGAAAAACAATCTCCTATGAGGGCCAAAGAAGTAGTTTTGACATACCATTCTAGTCCATCCATAAGTGACCGGGGACTAATATCCGACGACGAATACACTGATAGTTACTTTAATACATTCAGCCGATCTCTTTCTATAAACGGTAATGATTACATTTGATGTCCTCGCTTGTCAATAACCATGAATGTTATTATGAAACTCGTACATCCATATAATGTTTTTTATTATTTATTTAGGTCGAACATTTAGAATTTAGTGCTATTTAGCAAAGATTGGGCTGTTTAATTGGAGACCGAAGTGTTCATTACAAGATCCCGAAGGTTATTGTTTCGCCGAAAACGAAATTTTGTTTATATCTGAATTGCTAATGTGTTTCTGAAGAATTTTTCGATAATTTGAGATGCAACGGAGGCCTACCTACCTCCGTAGTTAGATTTCGAATTTTTGTGTGACGCCAGAGTAGATTCTCGAGGTACAAAAAGCAATACTCTTTTTAACCGACTTTAAAATTGAAAAGTAGGACGGCGATGTATGTTCAGCGATATTAATTCCAATCGGTGACATTTTTTTTTTTTGTTCGACAGGTTAATGGGCCAAGGTGGTTCCATTATAATTTTATTGAAATTGAATCAGTAATATTCTTTTTATAACATAAAGAAGTATACTTTTCATCAGATATAAACTAAATATTTTTATGACATGTTTATATCAGCCATTATGCAATATATTGCGTATTTTGCATACTTTCACTATACGAAAGGAGGACTTACTATGTTCAACGGGTATTTATAATTTTATGTAAGTAGGTATGCTCATAGATTTCTTCTTGAATTGTGAAAAAATTTTTATCAAACTAGACGATTCCGACGATTTCACCTGCGTAAAATTATAACCCATGTCCGCCGAGTATTATGTAGCTTTCTGTGGATGAAAGACTTTTATATTCGGACCAATAGTTCCAGAGCCTTTTCAACGCAAACAAAAAGGCAATCAGTCCTCTTTATAGTATGATTATAGATTATTGGAAATAACTATGTTGAGCAAATAAACAAAAACTCCTTTCCTAAGACTTTCACTATATATAATATTTTTAATGTTACGATTTCGAATTTTGGTGCTACAATAGTTAAGAACAACATAAAGTGATAAACAACGAAGTTGTTTTGGTCCTGTAGGTCACGTGATAGGGTAGAAATTAAGAGGTTTTTTTTTAACAAATAACAAAACTACATGACTGTTTTGGCAATTTTTAAAGCAGCCGTCTTTTTGAACGGTCAAATGTCATAATGATTCGACTAGAAAACTAGGTATCCGATAAAATGGCTAGCCGCCCAATAAGGAAGTATTTTCAATTAGTTCTCGAAATCAAACTAGATGTCGCTACGGTACTTTATTGATTTCTCCATTCAGGTTTCTTTCATCTATAAAATAAATTAATTTTCAAAACTCAATAAACAACTCATATTCTATTTGCTAGAGTCGCCATCTATATTACGAGTATAGATAGTACAGCGTTAAATCTGCAGGGGCACCCATTACTATGGGCGTCCCTCAGAGATCGGTATTAGGACCATTGCTTTTTCTAATTTACATTTATGATCTTCCTCACTTTACGAAGAATTTGTGCGAGACAGTATCATATGCAGAGTGGTAAGTGTAAGTTTTACGCTAACGCGTTCACTAGTGAGCGCGTTAAGAATTTGTATGGAGATTTGTAGTTCTTGGTAGTTACCGCTAGGGGCGCTGTACCGGATTCCATACAAAAATCTTAACGCGCTCACGATTGACAGTGAACGTAAACGTCAAAAAAACTTACACTAAGCGCTCAGATGACACCTCTTTAATGTTTAAAGTTAAGAGGGGTAATGATTGTAACTATGTAAATGATGCTCTCGACAATTTCTACAGTGGTTTGATAATAATAATTTAAAGCTTGATTTAAAACAAATCCATAATTATAAAAAATAAAATAACATTTGTACTTATTATTTATAACTTTACAAGTTACAAATAACATTTTATTTAACTTATTTTGATAAGCCTTATATATAAAAATTATCACATTCTTTTTATAAAATTTAGAAGCTTTACACATTTAACATATAATTCCTTTTTGCGATGACAAGATTTCGTTCTTAACCTATTTTTTTAATTCAATTACAATTAACAAAAGAAACTTTAATCATATTAGAGTTTTTAAAGCCCAAATATTAAATAAAAAACATATTTTCAAACATAGATATATACAAAATCAAATGATCTTTCAACAAAAATTATATTTTTATATTAAAATGTACAGTTGTTTTTTATGTAAATTCAGTAACGATCTAAGTTCAATAGCTTTTTAATATAACGTTGTCAATTTAGTAGATTAAAAAACTAATTCGTCTATACATAATATAAAACAATATCGCTTCCCGCTATCTGTACGTTGAGATCTTTTAAACTATACATCGGAATTTAATTCTGTTTTTATCAACATATATACAGAACATTTAAGCGGAAGGTATAACGTATAATACAGGACCACAGGTCCACCAAACCAATTTAAATATAATCGGGAAAACCAATGCTAAAAAAATACAAATGGTCAATAAAAAATTTCAATGGTCCACATAAAAAGGTTATATAGTTTAAATCTTATTTATGTAGCTTGCTTTTGGGAACATCTGAGATTATTCAGCTTTAAAACTCATGGTTCTATGCACTCATTAAATATGGAGTAAATTCTTTATATTTTCATTCCTTTTTTCATTAGTAGGCTAATACCCTTAGGAGTACTAAACTTAGGAGTCGTCCCTATCTGTCGCCTAAATATTTAGGAATCGCCTAAGATAAAAATGCATTTCACCATTGACTAGGAATCACCTAACGAAATTAAACAATGTCATAAAAGAAAAAAATATTTATTTGAAATTAAACTAATCTGCTTAGGCGATTTGTAATATTAGGCGTTTCCTAGTTAAGCTATGCCTTGTTTTAGTTTAGTGAAAATATGTGTTACTCTTGAACTCAATCTCAATGCCAATTTCAATCCAATGACGATCTCACTTTTCATCAAATCTCACTTCGTACACTTGAATCATAGAATATTGATTCTGGTTTTTGAAAGAACCAATTGGCATTTAAGTATTGACTTAAATACCAATTGGTTCTTTCAATAACCATGTAATATTGAGCTAATTACCACTAGTACCAAATCAAGAGTATGAAACCTCACAATTGCAATTCAACATTAACTCATTTCAGTAACTAATATTAACTGCAAAGTAAACAGGGCTTGCAAACAGTTCGAAAAATACCCATTAGTAAATATTATTAATCAGATTTTTCAAATCTCTCTTGAATATGCTCGTTCATAACGGAATCGTTTCCCGAGGATTATAACTTTCTGGGTCTTTAATGCCAAGCAAAATGCAAGCGGCGTTCAGATAAGACAGAGAAAGCGATCGATGGGCTGAGTGAGCGAAATCCGCGAGCGAAATTAAACGATATTTTTTTGCTGAAACAATTTCGCTTAATTCTTGATCAGAACTGAAAGAATTTGAATTCTTAATAAGCACAGCCCAAACGATAACATTCTCAAAAAATTTAAAGTTTCTCACAAGCTGGTTAATGATATTTACCAGGTTTCAGAGCCCTGATGGTGAATTTTTCAACAAACAATGATGTCTTAATCGCAAAGTTTTTGAAAGGAACAAACCTACTACCATTTTTATAAGCAGTTACAAAATTCGTTTGCGCAGAAGAGAGCACGCCCTGAAAACACCTTTCAAATATAGACTTTAATCATTATGTTAAGGTTTGCAACATAACTCTAGCATGCAAACGCAATCTGTGTTTGAATTTTTTTTATTACGATTGGAGAAAATTTTATTTGTACCTTTCTTTGATGAAACTTTTGAGCGGCTACATCAATGTAACTTATAAATATTGTCTTATTGTACCGTTTACTTAATCAACTCTTCAGTTTTGTACATAAAAACTTTTGGACAATTCTTTTGTAGAAAGAACAGACTTCTATGTACATAGAAGTCTAGGAGTCTTTGGGAAAGAAGTGTTTCTGCTATAGTCTATTCTATAGTTTGACTCTGAGATTGTGTGTTGGGAGCTTAGATTATAAGGGTGGGATAATTGAAATATGTTTATGCCTTTTTATACTAGGAATGTGAGATAAAAGAATAGGAGTTATGTTTTTTTTTGTCTGACCCCCAGGGAGATAATTGAAAAACGTCCTTTGCACATTTAACTAATTAAGCCATTTTTTTTACTGAACCTAAAAAATATGTATCTAATATTTTTCCATTATATTAGTGATGGACTAAATATAATTTCTCTCTATTTACTCAAGTCTTATCGTTAAGGAACGGTTTATTTTGTTAAAATGTAATGTAAATACCACATAAATAATTTCATTATCAAACTGATTCTAATTTAATGGTAATGGCCTGTACTTATAATAAATGGAAAATATGTATTTACTCCATTGAGGTTGTCTATCATTCTAATAAAGCTAATTGCAATTTCAATTCTTATGCATCACGTCAATTCTTTATTTCATTTTAATACTGGATATTTATTTTATAAAAGCCTTATGCTATCATCATTTTTTTTATAGAAATACTAATGTTAATTCTAGTTGAATGTAAAAATGAATAATATGTTATTATTCAGCAATTTTTAGAATTTTCACTTTTTGTATGTCAGCATAAGGTAGCATTGCAACTGAAGCAGATCTTTTGAAACTATGAACAAAATTAAGAACAGCTATCTTTTTTGGCATCGCTACTACAACGGTATGTCCATCTTCACCTTCTAATACATCAACTTGAATGATCGGACACATACTCAAAACTGGACAGTCGTAACGTTCCATAAAGTTATATTGCTTTACAGGTTCAGCATTGAAAAGGTCGAATTCACCTGAAGAATACGGAGCATAGTAGATACGGAGCACTCCCCAATTGGAACCGACGAAATAAACATCCCCATATGCACGAACTATGACGATGTCTCGTAATGGTCCTTCAGGCACACTGTGATTAAAAACATACATCCACTGGAAATAGATTCTCCAATCTAACTGTCCCAAGAAGTTGTACTCTCGTAATTGGTGCAGTAAATTTGAATTGGCTCCTAACGAACAGGTATACACAAAGTCATCACCTATAACGGTATAAATGTTGCGTTGAAACGTCAACACATGCAAGTTCTTAGTGAATCCCAAGCACATAACTCCGTCTTCTGTTCTCTTTATGAAGTTACTAGATAAGTCACCATCTTCGAGTTTGCAAACGTAAATCTCATCACTCAAATTCACATAATACACAGTTCTGTTGACAAGAAGGAATGTTTTCACATTGTCAAACGTAACATTGGATTCAAAGTGAGAATTGTGTAGCAACTTACGTATTATATATAATTGGAGATGGTAGCTCAATATTAAGATCGTGTCTTCGTTCTCAGTGTAACGTAGATAGTCACCTGTTATGGGTCCGCGTTTGCATAGTTCAAGGGTTTCTATGTCATAATAACATATCATACCTCTTTTGTGGACACCAATAATGCCGTCACGGAGTATTTCGAAGTTTCTCACCTCTTCGCTGACTTTAGATGCTGATGCGAACTCATCTTTGACTTCCCTGGCTGTTTCGAGCTTGGGCCAAAGAGATAAAGAACGATAAATATGGTACCACAGTATGCCAGCTTTCGCTTTTTGCCGCGCTATTTTATAAACACCACCGAAATCCTTACGGCAATGTTTCCGCCAGAAGACGTCACTTCTACTAAGTCCGTCGATTATCAACTTGAACCAGGAACAAACTTGGCGGCACTTAGTCAGATCTTTGGCTGATAGATAATTGAAAATGTAAAGGAGTATTTCGGTGGGAAGAGAACAGATATGGCAAGGTTCTTCGTCTTCGGGCATGTTTAGTGCGTTATCGTTATCGGTGATGATGTGTATTACTTTTCTACAGCATAATTTTTAACTACTTATGTTCATTGCATTGTGCTATGTATTTTAATTTTTATGTAACAACAAAAATATTATTAGACAATTTGACATGGCAAATCGTTTGACATCATTTGACATTGACAATCACTAACGAATGATTTTATACTCTGAATTAGCGATAACGATTATTACTTAAAAAAATCGAACTAGTCGATTGTGTAGATTAGTGGATTACCATTGTTGCTAACAACTAAACCTTGCGGCGGCAGAGGGCGGCTATGACACGCTGCGGTTACCGTAATTACTTATTTGATTAATTTCTAGTGCAGTACCATATTACTATACCCGTGCGTACTACTTGTACTTATGGTGCGGTGTGGTGCGGCGTGCGCTGCGCTAGACTGCAGTTATTATGTGATTCGCGCTAATACGTTATTTAGTTGTCTGTTTAGTTGTCAATCCACTGATTTGAGGGCACAACCATTCGATCGTCGCAATGTAGTTGTTACTTATCTACACTATCGAGCGACGAATAATGTTGAAATATCATACAAACAAACCTTGAAATGTACCATAGCTAATCTACTAAATCTTATTAAGGTTCCGTACCGCAAGGGTAAACACGGGACCCTATTACTGAGACTTCGTTGTCCATCCGTCCATCCATCCGCTCGTCTGTCTGGCACCAGCAGAGGTCGGAATTAGGTAGAGTTATTTATGTACTTGCATCGAAATGTTGATATTAATGTGGACTTTCCCGGGATTTTTAATGGACAATCCCGTGTGGCTAACAATCTTACAACTAAATAATAATAACAACGTCAGAGATAGACAAATAAAACAAAGATAATTAACATAAAAATTTTATTAGTTTACATTAATTTACAATACAAATTATTGATAGTCTTAAGCAAATTCTCATACGCATATTTCGCCTTTTTTATAAATACGAGCGAATACTTTTGCTTCTAGCCTAGACTCATGAGGTTTTGCCTATTCAAACGGCCCATCAGAATCATTTTCCTTGTCCGATTGATTACCAGTAAGATTTGAAGTGTTCGCTTCCGACATTACTGTATAACTTTTGTGAGAATTAAAATAAATAATCATAAGCTTTTCAATATTTTTTGGCTTCAATGAATTTCTCCGAACATTTAAAATCCATTTGTACATTGAAAAAGATCGCTCTACGTCAACTAAGATGAGGTTAGCAAATTTATACACTTCCTCCTCCTCGTCATTAGTGCAGGAAGAAATTTTTTCTGCTATATTCCATCAGGATTTCTATCCATGACTTTTTCCATTTTATCTTCTAAGTTCTCACAATTTGCCCATCTCAAAGCTAATCTCACTGCATCAAATATTTCAAATGATTCCATTAGAGAAAGATCGGGTTTCTCTAGTGATGTCAAAGCTGTTGGTATAATTGAAAAAATTTCGTAAATACGAGACAAATCATTCTTAATGTTGTCATTATTATTTAAAAAAATTAAAGCATTCTCTATTGATTTTGCTTCTTGACTGTTCATTTGCACAGACAATACAGATTTAATTTCATCGAAATGCTTAGCGTAATAGAACGCTGCATCAAGCCAAGTACCCCATCTGGTAATTACAGGTGCAGGAGGTAAAGGTAAATCCGGACACATTTCTTTAAAGATTTTAATTGTTTTTGGTGCCTTCAAAAAAACTTTTTTCATATTTGAAATTAAACTGTCAACATTAGGATTCTCTTTTCTAATCTGCCCCGCAACAAGATTGAGAGCATAGGCTAAACATGTGAAATGCAACTTTTTGGAAAAGTTGCATTTTAAATTCTACCAGCTGATATCATGTATGCCACACTGTCTGTACATAACATTCTAACGTTATCTAGTTTGCTCTCAAATGAACTTCCCCACATATTGTTTAAAGAATCTTGAACAAATTGTGATATCGTTGTTCCATTTACAGTATCTAGCATTTTACATGCCACTAAGTAAGGCTGATGGCACCTACTAGGTTGTAATGGTCTCACCAACAAATGTACGACAGCTCTTCCTAAGAAACCCGTAGTTTCGTCTACTGAAAGCCATAGCTTTTTATCTACAATCTTACTTTGCATCTCTTATGCTTTGATTTTAAAAAGCTGATCCAGGTAAACTTTTCTCAATAAGGATTCACTAGGTAGTTCAATATTTTTGCAATTGCAACACATGTACTTTTGAAAAAATGTTTTACATTGTTGCTCAGTTGGGACCATGGTATATTACAAAGAATCATAAATTCGATTAAGTCGAAGTAAAATTCTAAAGGAGTGTGGCGCTCGTTCTTCGTGCCTTTATGTACTGCTCCTTCTACATGTCTTTGGACGTTACTTTGACGAGTTGCATTCAAATGTGCTTCGCATTTAGAGCAGTAAATTAATCCACTTGCATGGTCGTAAAATAGCTCCGGATTATCGGATATTCCGGATCCTTAAGAACTCTGCGCCATGATAATACTTTTAATCTGGAGCAAAAAAATACAGATAGACAGACGGCGGGAAGCGAACTTTGTTTTATACTAAAGTTTAAAGCTAAAAAAGAAAATCAATAAAAGATTACCAGAAAATCTAACTCCAATCGTTAACCATATAGTCAATCAATTAAAAAAACGAGTCCCGTATGTTAAGCTTCTTCAGTAGCATTTGAAATCATTGTTACTTTATTGTGATTGTATCAAAGAACATCTTAAGTTAAACAATACCGATTTTGATAACAATACAAGAAAACGTTCTACATAGGGAAAATCTATTTTAAAGGAAATTTAATAAAAATATGAACTAGAAACTTACCAAGTATATCACCAATTTCAAATATCCAATTATCCAATACAGTAAAATCAAATCAAAGTCCGTTAATGCGTGCCGAAATAGTCGTATTAAGTAGAGTCCAGAATTCAGTAAACGAGCCAGGGTCAAACAGGATTGACTACACAAAACACAATAGGAAACAAGTGAGCGCATTCGACGAACCGAGGTAAGTGAATGAGCTGAGTGAATGAGTAAACCGATTCATTGCTAATAGATAGTTTGAATGCGGTAGAAAGAGACACAATCTAGTACATTACGTTAAGTGGGGAGTGCTCCGCATTTGCGCTATTGTATTCTTTTGTTCTCACAAGCTATATTGTGCGAACTACAAATGTGACAACATCGCGCGTAATGGTATTTTGCAACTTTGGACATCCGATGTCATTGATGTAAGTTTGGCAACGTCGTGCGTGCGGTAGTTTAAATTGTGTAAAAGTAAATAACTTTTATTTAAAAAATCACGGGATTTTTTTCTGCTCTTTAAAATTAATCTCGGGATTTGAGGCATATCCACTTTATTCTTTCGCTGTATGAAATCAGTGTAAGTACATGAATAACTCTACCTAATTCCGACCACTGATCATAACATAATTTCAGAATTTCAGGATATTATGAAACCTTCAAGTTTCATTTCACCCAAATTTCACCCAAACACAACACTGTACATTATATCCGTACTACACTGGGTCCCCCAATATCATGTTCTCCCCACAGGTTAGCACCAGAAAAGCTGAAAATCGCCAAAGCTGAATTAGACGCTATTTTGGCAAGTGGTACAGCACGTCCATCTGACTCACCTTGGGCATCCCCGCTTCATTTAGCTCCCAAAAAAGATAAAACTTGGCGTCCGTGTGGTGATTACAGACTGTTGAACGCTAGAATTATTCCAGATAAGTATCCCATACGTCACATCCATGATTTTGCTCATAACCTATCTGGTTGCACAATTTTTTCTACCGTAGATTTAGTTAAAGCGTAGGTATAACCAAATTCCAGTAAATAAAGATGATATTCAAAAGACGGCAATCACGACACCCTTCGGGTTGGTCGAATTCCCATATATGACATTTTACGTAATGTTTACGTAATGCAGGACAAACTTTCCAGAGGTTTGTCGATGAAATGACTTGTGGCTTAGATTTCTGTTTTCCCTATTTCGAAGATTTTTTGATCTTTTCTAAATCTGAACAGGAACATGAAGATCACCTTCGCCAACTATTCTCCAAGATGAGGGATTACGGTATGATCATAAATACGTCTAAGTGTGTCTTTGGTGTGTCAGACGTAACTTTTCTGGGCAACCACATTTCGCAACACGGAACTAAACCTCTGGAAAGTAAGGTCCAGGCTATTAAAGAGTTTCCTGTACCGAAAACAGCTTAGAAGATTCTTGGGCATAATAATTTTTTACAGAAGGTTCATACCACAAGCTGCCCAAATTCTATCTCCTTTACACTCTCTGTTAACCGGTTCTATTAAAGCATCGCACCCTGTCAGCGTAGAGGGTGACGCGTTGAAGGCTTTTGAACACTGCAAAGAAAGTCTGTGTCGAGCAGCATTGCTAGCACATCCTGACTCATGCAACATCCACATCATTTGCAACAGCTGAAAGATGGCTATTGGCAACCACTCGCCTTTTTCTCGCGTAAACTGTCAATTTTCTGCAGATATATAACACATATCAGGAAAGGATAATGTCGTAGCTGACACGCTTTCCCGTGTGGACGAATTGATGACTTCATAATGGATAAAATTGGTAATTAAATTTAAATTTAGATGACATTTAATTTGACATTTGTAATGATAATTGTAAATGGATTATTATGGTTGAATGGTAAATTATTAATTATTGACATCATCTTAACTGAAACATTATTCTCTGTTTTCATGTAATGACATTTAAAAATAAAAATATTTGCACACTGTTCATATAGTGTAAAATATGAGAAACTATTGTTAATAACTGTGTAACATCATTTGTACCATATTCCTGCAAATAAACATTTATTATTATATTATTATTATTAATAAAGTAAGCAAACAATCAACGCAACACCATAATACTCCGCGCCGTTAACCGATCGCACGCGCATAGCACAGAATCACATAGTGTGCGTATAATTAGTAGTTAATACGATTA